GAAATATAAAACAAAGTGGATATCGCTCGTTAGAGTGCTATAAATTTCCAAATACGCGCCGCGAATAGAATTAAGGTTACTATTATTTACCGTTATTTCTGCGTTCCAACTTGTTCGCCCGATCGATTTAAGAAAAGCAATGCAAACCTATTAAAATAACTTCGACTCGAGGCTTTGAGACGAAAAATTATTATCGTTGTTAACGAACCATCGTATAAACGTAATTATCTGCGATATATTCGCGATGAAAATAAGAGGAAAATATAAATTTCGTAAATCGAGCGATTATGCATAGATTTGAGAATTACTGCGAACGATGAAAACAGGTGTATCGCTTTACGATGAAACCTATTATCCCTTTCGTTTATATTTCCTTCTTCGGGAAGATAAAGATCGATCTTGTCTAAATGGAGAAGAGTATTTAATTTATAAATCGCATGGGATCGATGATATAATTTATAAAATTAACCATTTTCTAATAATCGCCGGTTTACGTAAAAATAGTACGAAAGGTTTCTCGTGCGTGGAGATGCTCGCAGAGATATATAGATATATCGATATATCGAAATGGCGTTTGAATAAAAACAACGAGATAGAAAGATACTTTTCTACGTAAAAGCGTTGGGAGAAATATTTGAAAGAAAAACAAAAGGTGCTATTATGGATATTAAAATTACTAGACCGATTACTAGACCCATAAAAGAGGAGGAATACGCTGATTTTCTACAAAACTAGATTTCTATTCGTTTAAATCTAAACGTAAATAACCTTATTTACGTGAAGATTTTAAAAAGCAAACGTTACTTTCGAGCAACCATGGGAAATTAGTGGATGCAAATTCGAATAAACTATATTTAGTTGATAATACGCGCCGTCTGGACTACGAAAGGTAGAAAATGAAAAGGAAATGAAAAGAGAGGTTCGAGTATATTATGTACCGAGGAGTAAACCGTGTAATTGGGATAACTTATATTCCAAGTTTTGTTAAAGACAAGAACGCGTAAAAAGGGAAGGAAATTCGCTCCTTTTGTAAGCGCACGATGCACCTGAGACTATAAAAAGACTATTAATTATAAAAGATATTATTAGAGAGTTTAATATCGCAAAAATCGATCTATAGCGAGATTTTTCAAATTTTTGTCCAATCGTATATTCCGTCGAAGATATTACGAGATGTTCCGAAGATATTAATGGCAAGACGAGTTTGCGATCAGCGATTTTCCAACTAAACTCTAATCAACGTTTGCCATCGACGATTCTCGATTGATTACCGGCGACGGTTTATCGATAAATTAGAATTCTCGCGCAAATTCTCGCGCAAATTATCGCCAAAAATGATACATCGTTCGCCAATAACGAGGAGATTGACACGTTTACTCGTTTTGCGCTTTGCGAGAAAAATTAGAGGCGAGGATGTATAGGTATCGGGATGATACCTATCCTGATCGAGCACGACCATCGCGGACATACGAAACCGGTTGTAAATAACGATAGCGTTAGATTATGCGTTCTAGCTTATGCCAAGTTTAATCCACGAGCTTCGATAAGGACCAAAGGATGTAATACTAATCAAACTTGGCGATGCTTTCACGCGCGCTGTATTTCCAGCGAGTATACTTGACCAGACCAGACCAGACCAGACCTCCAAGTTTCCTCCATTTTCTTTTCTTTTCTTTCCCTTTTTCTCGTCAGTGGAAAACGATACGAGTTTTCTTAGGGAAAAAAATTTTGCGGACAAAGGAGCCGTACGTTTAGGAATAACCGAATACTCGTCGGATAGACCGGTTAAAAGAAATACCAGAAATTCCCATCGTTTCGGGTACTTTGTATTTATTATCATTGATCCACCGATTAATTTGGCGGAAGATGCGGTCGCTGCACAGAATTTCTTTCGCCCAACTTTCTTTCTACCGCTTTCCTCGAAAAGCGATCGAATCAGAGATATTATCGGCAAGATGATGCATCGACTCGTAACGCGTGCGACGTAACCGAGCATTTACCACGAACTTATCGCGAAAGATGTTTGGAATGACTGGAAACGATTCGAAACGCGAAACACGACTAGCATGCCTCCTGGATTTAACTCTTCTCCACTCTTTTTTTCTTTTCTTCTTTTTCTCCTTACCACGAAGATAAGGTCCACGCGCGTTCTCTTATTTCCGCGGATAAATTCCGTTACGGAAAACGTAAAAGAAGAAACAATTCGTTAGGTTAGGTTAGGTTAGGTTAGGTTAGGTTCCATTGCGACGAGGAAGCATCGGAATATCTTGCACGCTCCGACTGAACCAGTCGGTACAACTTTTACAGTTATCGAAAACGCACGGCTACCTTTGACGAAATTAACGTTGCCTTTTATCCAGATAAAAACGTAATTACTTATAACTCTCGTAGCTAGACCCGCGTCGCGAGATGGCCGTTTTTGCTGTCATAACGCGACGCAACGCGACCCGACGCGCACCATTTCAAATGTCCCGCGAATCGGTTGATTCTTCTAACGCGGTACCTCGATGCCATTTTACGCAGGTACGATTGTTTACCGCGTTTGACAAAACTCGAAAAACGATCCGCGCCAATCGCGTGATCCACCCAGTATATTCGCACGAGTACCGTCGTCGAATCGAGTGATACGCGAGACAAAAATCTTCCACCGTCCAAATTTACATAAATCTCGAATATTTTAGTAAAATCGCGCGATCCTTTCGATTTGCGAAAAAATAGTTTTACCTTTTATTTTTTTATTCTACGCTTCGTTTTAGCTGCTCGAAATATTAACGCTCTACGCGCGAAAATTATTTCCGCCGCAAAGTCCGTGTCATTTTTTAAACCGTTTTTCAATAACGAATGAAACAGCGATCGAGATTTCACCACTACGATCTACGTACGATCGCGGTTAAATTTTTCTGTCGATAACGACGAGGGAGATGAACTGACGGAAGCAGGCGGACAGAGGAGAAGCGAAACGAAGAGAAGAGAAGAGAAGAGACGAGAAGAGACGAGACGAGACGAGACGAGACGAGACGAGACGAGAAGAGTGGTGCGTATATGTGTGCCGAGAGGGGCAGGAGGGCGATGAGAAGACACGAAAAGAATGTAACGAGAGTGACCGAGCGAGGACCACGTCGCAAATTGTCTGAATTAATGCTGCAGTAGGGTCGTTTTAACGTGTCGAGATAAAACTCGTCCCATAAGGAACGATTTCCGATCGAGATCGCTGGATCGTGCTCATCGACCGGCTTGCAAATATCGTTCGACCTTGAAGCCGAGTCTCCGGAGGTTGTACCGGCAAATCTGAAATTTTTCCGAGCTTCCCGACGCGTGACAAGCCCTTCTACGAGCATCCACGACGGACAAAACTTCCTCCGTTCGCGTAGATTGACGCAAACCGAGTTGAAATGATCTCAATTAGAGGTTCGGTGTTAGACCGAGTCGAACAGCGTTCTTTCAGCCGTAGGCTTCGACGTCTTCGCCTTTGAAAAGTTTCGTCACCGACCACGAACCTAGTTTCCGCGATTATTCCTTTCGCGTATCGACTATTCGCCGTTTTCCTTCGAATCCTTAGCAACGAATTCGTTCGCCAGTCGTTCCTTTCCGATTTTCTTTAACACCTCCGAACGATTTTCTCCTCTCGAATGGCGCAACGTCGCGCGAACGCATGTTCCACGATTGCCAAAATTCGTGGTCGAGGAATTTTTGGCTTTAACCACGAGTCTGCGAGGAGACGCGGGTACGAAAGAGAACGCAAACGTCCCGTTGAAAATGTCGCATGAAACGTTGGAAACGTAGCGATATCCTTTTGATCGATTTGCGCATTCCATTTACGTTTGCGAGATATTTTCTTCTGGTTTCGAGCTACGAAGCCACGAATCGGTTTGGAAAGGGTCAAAGGGAGTTTGAAAAGTAACCTTTGGTAATTGCGAGCGAACCAGTGCCGAGAAACGGACAATTAAACGCGATTAAGCATTAACCTACTTTCTAAGTTGGTTGTCTCGCGTTTTGGATCACTGTACCATTGGACAAAAGGAGAAAAGCAAAAGAGGAGAAAAAAGGGAGCGATTCTAAAAATAATTTCAAGGAATACGCGTATCGCTTACACACGCGGTATCGTTTACAGGGACAAATTCCGCGTTTGCTCGAAGAAAGAGAGAAACCGATGCGAGGAGAGGTCGTTCTCCAGAGAGGATCTCGGTGATTATCGAAAACGAGGTGGGCTCGATCGAGGAAGAGCCTCGCCCTTTTCCTTCGTGAGAAACGAGGAGGGCGTGTCCACGATCGAGCTTCTTCTCTTTCTCTCTTCTTTGCTCTTCTTTTCTCTCCTTTTCTCTCCTCTTCGTCTTTTACAGCGTGAAAGTATACCGATCGTTGGATAAATAAACTGTCGGTATTAACAGATCTAGCGAGAGGCTAGCGAGGAAGCAAGGACGATTGGAGGAAACTCGTGTTGGAAAAGCGATGGCGGAAAGTAGGCGCGTAGGAAGCGAGTACAAAGAACCCTGACGCGCGTGTATAGTCGGGTGGAGATTTTGAGAAGAAGGAAAAAAGAAGAAGGAAGAGAAAAAGGAAGAGAGCGTAATGGAAGAAGAGTGGAAAAAGGGTGGAAGGTTAAAAGTCGGGTAGAGGAATGGCGGACGTGGCAAGTTCCCGCGTGTATCCTTTGGTCCAGCCCGAAGATCGAATTGCGCTTCTCTCCGGATCGGTTGTGAACCTACGAAAAGAGGTTCTCACGAAACGAAGCAGGGCAAGGTAGAAACGTGGAAGAAGATCCTTTTGTCTCGTACGTTTTTCTGCTTCCGTCTCTCGGAACTATATCGTTATAAGAGAACTAATAAAGGGAACCGAAGAAGATGACAAGGGAAGATCGGAGATACTTTGGAGCGATGTTGGGACGTGTTCGGGCGGACTACGGGGCACTGAAAGCGTCGAATAATCGATAATAAGTTAATGGGCAGGTTTGCTCCGCTCGCTTGGTCGGTTGCTCACGAGCGAGGTATTCGATCGAGTCGATGACAACTTCCGGCGGTGGTAACGAGCGGTCGACACGCGATTGCGTCTGCGATGCCAGAGTTCTGCGAGCTTGCCTCTCGCCTCGATTCATCGAACGCGCTCTTAATCGCTTTGCTCTCCTAACCACGTTAAAACGGTTTTACTTCGAATCGTTTTACTCGAAATTTTTACACCCGCCTCTTCCACCCTCCCTACCTCTCTCTCTCTCTCTCTCTCTCTCTCTCTCCCTCTCCCCCTCTCTCTCTTCTCTTCGATTTTTCCCGGTAATCGATCGTACGACGCGCGATCTCTCGCTTCTTTCGAGAATCTCGTCGCTCCACATCACCGAAAGCGGTTCGCTCGACACCGGCACCGAATGCCGTTCGACCAGACGTTCGAGAAAGAAGAAGAAGAGGAGCAGGAAGGCGAGGAAGAAGAAGAAGAAGAAGAAGAAGAAGAAGAAGAAAAAGAAGAAGGAGAAGAAGAGAGGAGAAGAGAGGAGAAGGAGAAAGAGGTGGACGTTCCGTTATCGTTCTCCTGCGCATAACCGTACCTCCGACAGAGGGCGCGATCCCAGATCACCTCTAGTCCCAAGGAAGGTCAGATCACCTACCACACCGCT